CCAGACGAGACACTTCACAATTAAGGTATGAATGAAATATATTTTTTTGGCTGTGACTGTGCATTTGCAAGGGAGTGATTCATAGCTTGTAAAGCTAATCTCTTTTTTATTCAGAAATTTTGAGGACCTTATTAGGCGGGGAACATACTTTCGGTGAATTTTAAAAAAAATTACATTTTGCAAATCTATATAAAATGTAAATCTATATAAAATTACATTTTATAAGATTACAAAAATACTAAAATATATTCTATATTAATTTACAATTAAATTTATATAAAGTTTATATTTTAAAAAGTTTTTTAATTTGTTTATAATGATAAAAATAGGGAATTTTTAGTATTAAAACTTAATATAATTATAAAAAAATCCTAAAAAAAAATTCTATACATATCGGCTGATCAGAAAAGCCTCCCATAATTTTATATGCTAAATGACAATAAGTAACCCATCAGTTATATAATGAACCCATCAACTGAGCTTAAATATTAATTGGCTTGATTTTTCCAATCAGCCGATATGATAATTACTTTTTCTATATAAATTTAATAATAACCATGCATTTCATGTATTTTTTAGAATTTTATTATGAAAATGTTATTTATAATTTGAAAGGAATTGATGGTTTAGAAATATTTACTATTTCTCCTTATTTTTGAAAGTTTTGTTAACTTTGAAACTTGTAAAATTATTAAAAATTTTTTGATAATTTATACCATTAAATAAATTATATATTACATATAGGATTTTTAAATGCAAATTAAAACTTCTAAATTTAGAAAATTTTTTACATAAAGATAAAATTTTATATCCTAGAATACTCTATTGATGTATATAACTTACAGTATATATATATATTTATTAATAGAGATAATATACAAAACATTCGTTTAAATTTACAATGAACAAATTAAGAACAATAACAAAGAATTCATTTTATTGTTAAAAGCGTTGTACATGTGTAATAAAATTAAGACTTCCCGCTCAGCGGATAAACCAATTTCGGACGATATGGTATCAAATTTCTCTTTGTTTCATATCTAGGTTTAATATATTATTATTATTATTATAAAAAAAAAAACTAAAATTAGTAATGCATAATTTTTGAAACAACGGTCTTTTCTCATGCATTTTTTTAGATTTACATACCCTAAACATTCCATAATGGCCTGTAATTTTGGACCAATAGGACTCGTAGCACCAGTTTGCCTTACTAAATCGGACAAAGTTTTACCAGGAACTTGAATCGTAGTCATTAAGAAATCAGGAGAATTTATGTAAGATTGATCAAAATGAGAAATACTCTGACCATTTTGAAAAGGAATGAGAGTAGTTTCCAAAATAGCTCTTTCCGTATAACAAGATTTTGGATAAGAAGAAAGGGAATTAAAAGTAGTGGATATATTATTCATATTTTCTGCTATTACGACTTGTTTAGAATTTAAAAAATTTTGGATCAAGTCGGTAACATTTTTAAATTTTGTACCAGGATTAGCAAAATCATTTAATTTTACAGTGACGGGAGATAAATTTTTGTAATTACTATTAAATATTAAATGTCTATCAAAAGCAGTTTCTTTAAATTCATCAAAAATAACTTCATTATCAGAAATAACTACATCTGGTTTAGAAGTGATAAGAATTTGATTTTTATTACCAGTTAAAAACCAGTTTTGCCAATTTGAAGTGAAACCTAAACCATGCATTAATTCATGTAAAACGATATAAAGCATATCAAATTGTTTTGGTTGAATTGGTATATCAGAATCCGATGGAAAATGCCAATTAACTATGGAATTAAATGTTGCTATAATATCAATCGGAGCAAATTCAGGATGTTTTTTAAATTGATACTGTTTTACTAATGATTGAGGATAATATCGAGATAATCCATCATCATCCAACAATAATATTTCTCGTGCTGATTGAGCGGCACCTAACAAAAATAAAATAAATTTATATTTAATATATATTCAATATATAACTCTATATATATATATATATATATATATATTTATTTAANTATATATATATATATATATATATATTTATTTAAAGGAATTACCTATTACAACAACTTTTCCTCCTTGTAATTTACAAAGATCAGGTTGAACTACACATAAATTAGTATAATTAACGGATAAAAATATGGGCGACTTTAAAATAAAAGTTTTTGAAATAATTTTTCCAGCTATCAAAATAGTGTCTTTGACTTTATTACAAATTTCTTCTGTTGCATTGTTACATTTAAATTCTGTAATTTGTATTTTTGATTCATCCTCATAAGAAGAGGGTGCTCTCCTAGAATATTTTGATGGATCATCTGTTACGAGCGGACAAGCAACATTTCTTTTTACTTCATGATCTAAGGCATCAAAATAATCTATACATTGAGAAAAAACTAGTTCATTAAAAAATATCAAAAAAATGAAAAATATGAAGAAATTATTTTTTAATTTTAAAAAAGCCATAGTCGTGTATATTTTGGGGAAAAGGGAAGGAAGAGATATCAAAATTAAATCTTATATATATATATATATATATATTATTTTTTTTTTAAAAAAAAAAAAAAGGTCAGAGTGGGTATTTATATATCTAATTTGAAAAACTTTTTTTGTGTAGATGAATAATTTTTAACTTAATAAAGAAATTATTTGAAAACATCAAGATAAAATATTTTAAAATAATGTAGATTATTTTTGGAAACATTTGTAACTGATAAAGGGAAAGGCAAGGGGAAATGTACGTCAATATGTGGCACTTGTCGTACAACATGTTACATTCCGCGATCATAAACATCATAAATGGCACAAACAGCACAGCACAAACCTTCAGGTAACAAAAAGGGACGGGAATGAATTTTTTTTCCTCTTCACGAAAAAAAAAAAGTTAATAATATACGATAGTTTACAATTAATTAAATATTCATTCATTCATTATGACGATATCAAAACCAAAATTCGCCATCGTCTTTTGACCAAAGATATAAATAAGCCCTAGGGCGGAAGATCCCGCATGAGCCTTCTACTAAATTTGGATGAAAGGGTAACGTAAAAAATGTTGGACAAATTTCGTACAAGCCATAAAATGGACTAGTTTTAAATCAGGATAATTATTACGACAGTTATCCCTAACCTAAAAATAGGTTAAAATAAATAGAACCAAATTTGAATGAACCTTAGATGATTATTTAATAAAGAAAAATCACCCCGCCCAAAATTTCCTTTATTTAACTAGTGAAATATTTTAGCCGCGGGGTTTGATATTGATTCCTTGTTTTATATTATTACGTCATCCTTCTTTAATTCTTATTCCTTAACTGGCATCAATTTAAATTCATGCATTTAATAACTAACGCATTTCAAAAATGGATATTTTTTCCATTTAAAATTATTTTATATACTGTATATACAAAAATATTACCTTAATAAAAATTAATAAAATAACATTATTTTAAAAAATATCAAAATTCTAATTTGTACGTTTAATATACTATATACATCGGATAAACTTTATTATTATTTTAACAATAATGTGTGATAAAAATAATATTATAATAACAAAATAATTATTTAATTATTTTATTTTAATTATAAATAAATGTCAGTCAATTAAATAATTGAATTTTAAAAGATATCATTCGGGAATATGTCTCGATTGTCTCATGTCTTGAATCATAATTAAAATCATTATTTCTACATATTTACGAAGGATTAACTGCATTATCCAATAACTATATCAGATATAATTAATATAATGTGATATTATGAATGATATTTATGCTTTAGTCTAATAAAAAAATCAGTATGTCGATCCTATTGCTGCATAATTTCATGCCAACTAGTCATAAGTGTCGATTCTGATATTATGTTTATTATTATAATATTTTTTTAGTATAGTTCTTGAAGTTTATAAATAATCATAACCATTTAAACGACTTTAATAACAGGAATCGGTCAGTCATTGGTAATTTTTATAGATCTACTCGTAATAAACCTTCTATACCATTTTATTGGTTTGAGAAACACTGCTACATCCACGTGACTTATTTCCCTCTCACCCAACAATTACTGTATTACATAGCTAAAATTTTGGTAATTTTTGAGTGGGGGATTTTCGTGCATTAATAACCAAATGAGATAAACTATAGAGATTTTAACATGTAAACAATCTTTTTTAAATACCTTTTATTTCAGTCTTGAACAAATTAAGACTAGCTGAATCGTTTGTCTTATAGTCTATGGCGCAGCTGATTTATTTATTTTATCCTTGCAGATCTTACATAATTGTTATTTTGGTCAGTTATAGTTCGGTCATTAGGATTACTGCGGTGACCAATAGGAATTAAATGCTACTAATAACGATTTCAATATTGATTGTCTCATAAAAATATCGGTCATTAAAATCCTGCATACTCCTAATTGACTGAACAATAACTCATATTACTATGTATTTAGCATAATAATAAAATTATTGGATAGTTTATTATAAAAATTGCACTCATGAGCGGTATATTATTATTACTATTGCCAAATATAAAGTAATGTCGCTTTAGACTATTATTACTATTATTTGAGTTTTAAATCATCCAATAATATATAAATTTAAAATTATATATTAAAGTACATAAATCGATAAATAAATCATACATATACGCTCAAAAATCATAAGATCGTGTGAACCGGTTCACAGAGTTCTAACGATACCAATCCAACCTTAATCTTTAATCTTCATTGAATACATCATCTAATTTCTTCGATAAATTGTTAACTTACGCTGTTTGAATTGGAAATTTGGATTCGATTATCAATTCTAGTTTCTAAATAATAGGTAAATAGATAAACTGTACTGTACGGTCAGCTAAACTGTACTGTACGAAAATATTTTAGCCAATCATAACTCATTGTATACTTTTCAAATTTTTTAAATTTTTTTTATTTATCGTACAGTAAAATCTGATTGGTGAGTTCTCACTTCGTACAGTACAGTTTAGCTAACCGTACAGTACAGTTTATATGTATACTCCTAAATAATCAGCGTTTTAAAAAAAAATGTTCAGAATGTCCATACGTTAAATTTATGAAAAAAAAATGCTCATATAAAAGCGAAAAAATTTTTTTTTTGTTTTAACATTTTTAGTTAGTCGGTTATCTCATTGTTAACCTTTTATTAGAAATAAATAAAGCCACTAATACCAAATTAAAGAAATTTACTATCATATGATGTTTATGATAGGCAAGAAGATAGTGCAACCGTTGTGCCCATTTATATTTATACGATCTGAAAAAATATCTTTTTACTTATAACCTAATATAATGCTCTTATCAATTAATTTAGAATATCAAGTATAAACAATATTACGCCGCTACTCTATTGTATTTGTAATAAAGAGATTATGTGTGTTCAGTCATATGTTCCATTATAAGTATGACCCGTAAATAAATATAAAGTCCTATTCTCTTTTACCTGATGAACATAAATACCATTTAGATATCTCTTTATTGAACTAATAAAATATTGAAATCTCCCTAAAAGTATTTGTCCTGTTCTAAATTTATGAACTTACAAGGGAATAATACTGTACATGTTAACCAATTTCATATTTACCGTAATTGAAGTTTAGTTATTAGTAAAATGACAACTTTGCAAGATTTAATACGCATATTAGAAGATCCTGCGCCCCAATATGTATTAGGCTGCATACCAGTCATTGTAACGATAGGAACAGCCCCGGATAATGGTCTGGGAAATAAGCTATTATGGATTATGAGGTGTCTCGGCTGCCCATTTACGGGATTGTTTTATGTTTTAAACGTAAAAGACGACCCAATATCGGCGACTACATATTGGCTTAATTCAGATCGATTTAAGGAAGATGGAAAACCGATTTCATTTAGACCTTTTGGGCATCATGCTAAAGAAATAAATTTATCCGACCAAGATCCACAAGTTATTCAATCACTTGAGGAGTGCATCGCAGAAGCAAGCCCTCTCGATCGGCTCTCATCCCTGGCTTCTGCCTATTACGTATTTGTAGGTATTTTTGCGGGTCTAACCAAGGCAATGCATCTAGCGCATTGCACCGAAGAGGATTGGCCTTATCTCCCATTATCATTAAGCTGGACCCTACCAGCGGTCTATAAAAGGGTCTTTGGGGGGAGAATGGTAGTTAGAGACCCTAGAGAAAGGTTAGAAAAATTAGAGAAGGATCCCAATGAAAGAATAGAAGAACCAGAAAATAGGACATATATTGTTGTGAGAGATCTCCCAGATCACGTAAAAAATCCCAATGATGCCAGTATATTTGTGGTCACTTTTATCTTATTCTCATTAATAATTCCTTGGATAACAGTGCCACTTGCTTATTTCAGTCGTCCGATCGGATTTGGCTGCAGAAGCAAATATATCTCTGTCTTGTGCTCTATCTGGACAGTTAACAGTACTGTCGCATTTATTTCCCATGTTTTAGGAGAAAAATCTGTGTATAGCAGACGTATTCTTAGCATTTGGTTTTACTTTTCTGGTATTATAGTAGCAATCCTTTTGCTACTATTAGCATTATTAAATAGTACACGATCATGGTGGGTAGATTTATTCGGAGAGTCTTGTAATTTAACATGTTCAAGTCAAGATTATTAGCATATATAATAATTTAGCTATTATTTAGCTTATTTGTATTTTTTAATCTTAGTATGATTATAAACTATTATATGGTTTGAAATAGTAGTTAATGATTAATAACTATTTCGCACTAACGAAATGTAACAGTATCTTGAAATAATGAAATATTCAAGATCTTACTATATAATTTGACAATGTTTAGGACTTTTAAGTATTCCACAAATTATTTTAAATAATCTACAGAATAAAATATCTAAATAATATAATTAACGGGAGTTTAATTTAGTCGAATGAAATGAAACTTCGCACCATCAAATAAATTGATATCTTTTTTTTTTTTAATGGAGAGCAAAATTGTTTTGATGATTTCGATTTATTTTATGTAGTAATAACAAGAAATGCCTAAATCTGAAAATGAAACAAATTATTCCATAGAATTTCCAGTATTTAAGCAAGAATATCTACGGTTAATATCTAGTAGCTTAAAATATTGATGCTCATTCTGGAATGGTTCACTACAAAATCCTGACATCATTATTAGTAGCGTTAATTCCTATTGGTCACTGCAGTATTCCTAAATGACCGATGCAAATGGCCGAATATAAAATAAAATACGTTTAAAAAATCTTCGGGATTTGAGTCAGGATTTTATGCTGTTGGGATTTTGATCTATCGGGATATTTCAATATTGGATGTTTCACGATCATTAAAATCCCACATATTCCTAATCGACTGGCATATTGTGAAGTTTTTGAGCTTGTGATATCACAAAAAGAATAGAAACAAATAGATGTTCAAGTTGCCGGAATATTTTTCGTGATGAGTAACGCCCAAAGCAAAAAAAAAGAGCTAAAGAAAAGATAAATAGGAATTTATAAATATGCAATATAATTTTATTAAATTTCTACTTAATAATTATATTTATTTTGCGATAGTAATGTTTGAATAATTATGTTAATTGGATCAAAAAAATTTATTATTTCAATTATAGAATAAATGTGACATCATTATTTATAATAACTTCACGGGTTATTGCATTATGTTACGCAAAGATTTCTCCCATACGAAAATTTTATTTTCAATGAATATTTCCATTATAAAAGATTCTTCTTCAGAATTATTTGTCGAAAATTCATTTACATACGGTTTATTTAATGACAAATATCCACTTCATTTAATAAGGTTGAATGATGTTTCAGAAAATTTTCGATTTTTAAAAATAGAATTTCTTACAATACTACAAATGATTCTTATTATGAAAATGGGATTACAAAAAATAAATATCTCGAATTTTGGGATAAAGGTGCTTTAGAATACGATAATATTATTTATGTACCTGCCTATGGACATAATAGGTAATTAATTGCAAAAAAAAATTCCAAAAAAAAATAATAATAATAACTAACTTTTTTTTATTTTTACTTTAGAGTATTTTTATCTAGCTTTAATTCAAATAAATTAGGTTATATTATATGGAAATTTGATTATAATGATCCTTATAAACAACAGCAAGAATTTACAATCTTTTCTTTAATATTCAAATCAGATTATATATTATTTGACTCCGCCACCGTTGAGTGGTTTATCGCGCCTTTATTAAAAAATAAAAACTTGAACAATAACATTAATAATTCGGAATTAGGTTGGAAAAAACTTCCTGCATTTTCAGGAGAATTAAATTTAAGTGATATGGTTAAAGGAGAATCAGGATTTATGTTAAAAGTTGTATTATCAAATAGGGTGGCTCGAATATTTAATCAAAAGATGCATGAATATGGAGTTTTAAGGGATACTAAAGGAACATTTGGATTGGATGTTTGTATTGAATTAATTCAACGACAAAAAAGCTTTAGTAATTTATTAGAAGATAATATGAGATTAAAAGTAGATGATAGCATTAAAAAAGATATTGTTTCTGGATTATTCAATAATAAATATAAATTCAATATATTACCAAATGAAAAGAAGAAAAATTTATTCAATCATAGAATTTCATATAACACAAGAACCGATGCTTATTATGAAAATGGAATTACGACTAATAAATATTTAAAAAAGTGGAATCGTGGAGCCTTGGAATTTTATAATATCGCTTATAATGTTGAATATAATTGGAGAAAGTAAGTACAAATTAATTATAATAAATTATATTAATTTAATGTATTAATAATATTATTTTAGATTATATTTAGCTAGGGAAAAAGAAAAAGACGTATATGATGAAACTGATGAAAATGAAGAAGATGGGAATCATTCAAGTTCGGGATATATAAAATGGAAGTTTGATTACAGACCCGGAAATTTTATTATTAAAACATTATCAATGAAATTAACTCAAAATACGTGGCATGATGATGCAGAAATTAAAATATCAATAATTCCATTAGCAACGAGACAAAATGAAGCGTCGCTAAATTGGAATCCAGTTTCATGTGATTTTATTTCTGGGTTATCATTATATTGGGTTTATAAAAAATCAGATTCAATATTGGATCTTTCATCATTTGTTAAAGGCGAATATGGTTTTATTTTAAGAATTCAATTATTAGGAAATAGTGATTGGGTAACTTGGGATAAATCTCAAATATTTAGACAAGAGATGGATAGATTAGGACCTTTGATGATGATGAAAATTTTGGGATGGATATAAAAGTTGAACTTGAACCCGATATTATATGTGAAGAATTATCTAAATATGGATTTAACAAAAATGAAATAATTTCAAATGATCAAAATACAAGTGATTTTATAATTAAATTAAAAGATTCAATTTTTGAAGATAAAGAAGTAGTTTATCATGTTCATAAATCTATCTTAAATTATTATTCAGAATATTTTAAGGGATTATTTAGTTCACAAATGATTGAAACAACAGATAGAATATTAACCCTCTCAGAAATTTCTACTAACTCATTTGAAAATATTCTTAACTTTATGTATACAGGACGAGTTAAAGATGTTTTGACCGATTTGGAAGAATGGATAGATTTACTTTATGGATCTTCAAGATTTATAATTCCATTTTTAATTCAAAAGTGCGAAAAATCCATTTCAAAGTATGTTAATAATGATAATGTAGAAGAAATTACAAAGATTGCAACAGATTGTGGTGCAGAACAATTACTTAGATATTGTCAAAAGTTGGAAAGTAAAAATAGGGATGCTTTATATCTATTAGATATATAACTTATATATATAATTCACCTAAAACTAACTTATATTTTAATCTCATCTTTTTCATTTTTCAACTTCACAAAATTTGAGTAAGAAGCAAGGTATAATAATTCAATCTAATCTTTAATTTAATTTATATTTTTAAGATTGTTAGTATTAAATAAATAAAGCAGTTTATTAAGAAAAATACAATCAAAATATTAAATTCTATTATTTTCAATATATTTCTTTTCTTTTTGGTATTTTTATATAATTTAAGTAAATTTATAATTTATTTAAAATTTTTTTTTTATTTATACTTTCATTAATTAATTTCATTTATTTGCAATTCAGATAGTATTCTAATACTTTTATTTAATAATAATAATTTATATAACAAATTGAAATCATAATTTTAAAATTTAAAGTTAAATGGAATAAAAACCACCTATAAAATTTAATAAATTCATCTTATTAAAATAAATTCAATAGTATAAATTTTATTATTAATTAAAAAACAGAAATATATAATTTAAATTTTTGAAATTTTATGTGATTAGTAAATAAATTATATATAAATTATTTAGAATTTTACTTAAAAAATAGTCAACCTTCTTTATAGTAGATATCTTTTATATAAAAACAACTTTTCTTTTTAAGATATACATATTTTAGTTCTAATTTTTTTATATATAAAACACTTTTTTTATAATCATTTTATTAGTTATACAGTAAGTATAATCACATCAAATTAGTTCCATATTATAATATTAAAATATATATAAAATTTTTCTTACATAAGTATACAAATTACACAATTTAATAAAATAACTAATAAAGTACCTGTTATACAGTTTGTATTCTGAATTTAATGGTAAAAAAAGTTTAATAATTAGATAATTTAAATATATCTTATATTATAACTTTTTTTACAAATTTTTATATATGGAAATATTAAATTAATACCTTTACCAATTAGTACATCTTATTCTAATTATATTATTAAATAGTTTCAAAAAATGTACTTATAAAATGAATTAACTGTATATATTAAATTACTATTAAATTACTTAAACAGAATATTACATAAAGAATTACAAATTGAGACAATACTACTAAACCACTATTGCTAAATAATCTATTTAAATTGATAGATATATCTAGGAAAAAAGCCTAATGTAAAGAATATGTGCAACAAAGCAAAAACTTCATGGCATAAAAATTCAAAAAGAATATTATTACTGACACATCAAGTCAAAGACCTAGGTAAAATATAGCCCATACTTATAAATTAACCAAAACTGAAACTGCCACCTCTAGTTGATAAATACCTTTTACATTAATTGATAAAAATAAATTCTCTAAGTAACTATATTATTAGAGTTAATAAACTATTTAAAATTAAACTAAAAAGAAACTTTTTAGTATTATGCAATTTTCAAAAAAATATTCATCTTATTTTAAATGATCTTTCCAATTAAATTAGTTTGCAATAAAAAATTCATAATATGTCATCTTGACCTCACCTATCTAAAAACTGATCACTAAAATCTGCACTCACTTTAAATTATATCCAACTTTCTTAAAAAAAAAATGATTAGCAAACCACCTAATATTGATCAATTTTAGAATACTCCCCTACCTTTCAGAAAAATTCCAAAACAGAAGATAAAAAAAAAAGATAAGAAAAATTCATTAAAAATATAAGAAAAAGACATAAACTTTAGGAAAACTAATCTAAAGGAGTAAAAACCTAGATAAAAAGAAAAACTTTACCAAACTATTACTAGAAACAACACTTTACAGTCAACTCTCGATATAACGAACCCTACGTTCCGGCAGATCAAGGCTTCGTTATAATCAACTTCGTTAACACTATAGCGAATTATTTGGTATAGTATAACGAATTCTTCGGTATAGGTATATCGGTCATACAGATCATATGACTTGTCGATCTGATTTACCGATAATTAGAAATCAAATTGCGCAGTACAACTGATAATCTTTTTTTTCTTTTTGTAGGTTTCCAAGCAACGGACTTTTGTAGTATAATTTTCTTCTTGTAGGGTTTTCAGACGAAAATTACGACCAGATTTTTGGTATTGAATGAGGTATGGATCAGGTTTCATTATATTTTTAAAAAAAATTAATTTATTTTTTTTAAGATTTTGTAGAGTTTCCAGATGAAATACACTACCGGACAGTCCAGACTTTTGAAATTGAGCGAAGTATGGACCAGGTTTCATTATATTTATATTTTTTAAAGGTTTTTTTTTAAAAAAATTTAACTAATTTGTTTTTTTTCGATTTTGTAGAGTTTCCGGACGAAATACACTGCCGGACAGTCCGGACTTTTGAGATTGAGCGAGGGTTTCATTATATTTATATTTTTTAATGGTTTTTTTTTTAAAAAATTTAACTAATTTGTTTTTTTTCGATTTTGTAGAGTTTCCAGACGAAATACACTACCAGACAGTCCGGACTTTGAAATTGAGTGAGGTATGGAACTTTATTATATTATAATATTTGTTAAAATTTAACTTATTTGTTATTTTTTTTCTTTTTGTAGAGTTTCCAGACGAAAAACATGACCAGACTTTTGAAATGGAACGAGGTATGGGGACTTCATTATATTTTTAATGTTTTTTTTAAAATTTTAACTGATTTATTATTTTCTCTTTTTGTAGAGTACCTGGACGAAAAACTGAAATGAGGTAAAGGGGAACCAAGAGGGAGGGTATTCATCTTTTTTTAAGAACCGTACTAACATTTTCCATTTCTTTTCGTAGGGTTACTGGACGAAAATATAGGTAGTGGGAGTCTTATTTATGATTAATTTTCATTTTTTTTTGTAGGAGACGCTTCCTGGTCTTCCTGGACTTCGAAATGGACATCTGAAAAAAAAAGTAAGGGGGGACTTAATTTTTTTTATTAATTTTGTTTAAGAACATTTACTAACATTCTTTTTTTATTTTTTTATTATAGGGAATGCTTCCTGAAGTGTTCTACTTTTTTTTGTAGATTTCGGCTTTAATTTTTTTTATGTAAAAATGTTTATTATAATTAAACCACAAATTCTTCGTTATACTGAAAAAAAAATTCGGTATAAAAAAAATCCGTTATATCGAGAGGCATTTTTATATAAGCAATTCACACACTTTACTTCGTACTACATTATACGGTAAATAAATAGTAAACTTCGTTATATCAAGGTTTTTTTTATATTTAAAATCGGTACCACACTGGAAATCCGTTATATCGTGTTATTCGTTATATCGAGGTTCGCTGTAGAGAGGGGTGACTGTATTATTAAGAAAATGAACTTTTTTTACTTGACAATATAGAAATTTTTTCCTTCCAGCTTGGAATCTTCAATCTTATAATTAAAATCACTTAAAAAATATGAATAAGTGCCATTAGACTTAATAGAGACAAGTAGTAAATATCAAGTTAGTATTTTAATCAAGTATTTATAACAACTTCTTTAAATAAATGTATTTTAAAATATTATTTCCATGATAAAAAATAAGAAAAAGGAGAAAGAGTTTTTTTTTTAAAAGGAATTAATAGTTAATAATATTAATAAAAATATTTATAATGAAATTTTTGATTAATTTAATAAAAATATCAATAAAAAATTTCTTTTTTTTTTTTTTTATTTATCCTCATAGGGATTGATATTTAATTATAGTAAGAAGTTTACATAATCATAAACATTAACCTTTAAAATATCCCACTCAACCAGCAAATGTTTCTGATGAGTTATAAGCTATATACTATACGATCATAAAATAAAATATTTAAATTTACATAATTTAGAATAATAATATAATAAAATTAAAGCTACCAAAAATCCTAACATAAAATAAATAACCATATAAACATTATATTTAAATCAATTATTCACCAAAATCACATTCCTATATTAAAATAATAAAATGACGATAATGGTTTATAAACTCAAGACAATAAAATGTACTTTTTGATATACAATTGAAGTTGAGAGTGCATTAAGACTAATGAGTCATGAAAACATTGTTGAGGAGAAATAAAAAATTTCCAAAATGGTAATAATAGGAATTTTAATATTTAAAATAAAATTAATAATATTATCTATTAAAATTAAAAAGAATTAAGAATATAAGTTATATAAATAAAATAAATTATAATATAAAACTTTATAAAAAAAAGAAAAATATATAAAAATTATAAAAAAATATATTGTATTAATAAAAAATCAATAAATATAATACTATAATTTATTAATTAAATTAATATAGTATACAGTCAGCCTTTTCTATAGATACACTTCTTGAAATCAAAAAAATATAATATGATTATAAAAATACTATATAATGTAACTAAAGAGAAGGTTTTTTTAATAAGTTTATTAATTTAGAACTAATATAAATGTGCTTATACCTTGTAAAAAATCTGATCCATGTTTTATCTTTTCATAAATGTATCATTTTCATAATAACCCCAAATCATGGAAATTTTCATCTCATTAACACAGATATCCATGAATGTATCATTTTTACAGAATTTTACAGAAGACATAAAGAAATAATGGAAATATTCAGATAAAAATTTTTTATAGGGATAAGGAGTATGTGATTATATTAAAGTATACTTATAAAGAAGATCAACTGTAAGGAAGCTTACACATATTATGTAATTATTAAAGGGGGAGGAGGATAACCAAAATCTTACATTACACTTAATAAAATTATATAATTTATAAATATTATAATTTGATTGGTTATTAAATCTGATAAGAGGAAGAGGAGTAAGTTTATATTAAACTAAATATTACGTAATATGTATAACTCCTCTAATATATTTTTAACCTTAATTATAAGTATTAATATTTATTATTTAAATAAAATTTTTCATTATTTTTAAATTTTTCTATATAAAATTAGGCAATTTCTATTTGTATACGAGGTGTTTAAACCTGGGTTATGTGATTATTGCCATTTTGACTAATAGTATAAACTTCAAAATTATTAGATAAATAGATTTTTGCCTGCTCTACAAGTTTACTTAAGGCATCAAAGATGCTTTTGAATGTCAATTTTAACTTTACTTATGAATAATTGATTTTGTCAATTACTTTTAAAAAAATTTAAGAAATAATTGGCAAAGACAGTTTTTTATATATAAGTCAAAAATGGCATTCAAAATCCTTTAATGCCTTAAGTAAACTTGCAGATCAGTCAAAAATACATATATTACATAAAAAAAGTAAAAAGGTGTGACATTGATATTATTATATTTCACATGATTCATGTTTAAACACTCTTGAAATTTTCATAAAATTATAATATATAAATATTTTTGTATAAATAAATTTATTAATTTTTAATTTAAATAGTTAATATATAAAAATCAAAATAGTTTTTATAAATTTAAAATTTTAATATTAATTTTTTAATGAAGTTTACTATTTATATCATTATTAGTAATCAGCATCAGTATTACATGATTATAATTAACCAATAGTATTAATATAATTAATTTAATTATTTATTTGTGTAACTTTATGTAACTAAAAAAAATTGTGTATATCTTTAATTTTTAAGAATATCCTAGTTAAATAAATAATAACAAAATGAATGATAATAAGAAATAAAAAAGAATAATAAAGAATAATAAGAAATAATATAATATAAAATGATAATGAAAAAAGAATAATAGAAGATAAAATAATAATAAAAAAACAATATGGAATGAAAGTATAAAATGAAATAATGATGAAAAAGCAATATTAAATGAAATAATAATAGAAAAAAAATGATAGAAGATGAAAAAGTAATTAAAAAAACAGTATAGATTGAAATGATAATGAATAGGTCTTGTGATTTGTGATCACTAGATGTTGAAGATAGGGCTTTATAGCTAAAATGATCTATTTCTAAATAAAATCTACCTACAGAATTAAATGATTACTTAACAGTATACATGTGAAATACTATATATATAACAAGTAATTTGTAGTTTAATTATATTAGGATCCCAAAAAATACATATAAAAGTCAGAGATGATTGGCAAAATTTTGCCTTAAAATAAGCAAATGTTTTTATTAAGATCAATACGCAAAGTTAATTTCTGACTTTATAATTTATATTAGAATAAGCAAATTTTTTTTATGATATTTGTATATTAAAAAAATGAAATGATGGCTTTTTTTTTAATTTAATTAGTTGTATTTAAAATATACTTCCAGTATAATTGATTTTCAATTACTAGCATAATGCCAAATTGTATAAGAACCCCGCATAATATATATATAGGTCATAGGAACATTTGCTTAGCCATGTATGAATTTAGGTATACACAGGTCGAAAAGTGAAAATCAGGCATCAATCAGTCACCAATCAGTCACCAATCAGGTACCTGATTGGTGACCGATTGGCATTTTCGCCAAATACCGTCACCAATCAGGCACCAATCGGTTACCAATCAGTCACCAATCAGCTACCTGATTGGTGACCGATTGGTGCCTGATTTTTCACTTTTTGACCTGTGATAGTTAAAAGAAGGATTTGCTTAGAATCAATAAAATTTTGCATAGTTTTGGCATATTTTTTTATGTCATCTTTTTTGTTTGCTTATTTTTAGGATAATTTTGGCTGATCTCTATGATAACATCTTAAAGCTATTAGGGAATGAAAAAAGATATTATAATGAATATTTTGGTTAGGATGATATTATTGAAAAAATGAGGCAGTTTTAAATATATACATAATATTAGTTATAAGAAATTAAAAAAAACCTTAAATTTAAAATAATACGATAAATAAATATATTAAAAGTGATCAGCAAATTACAGTATTATTAAAACAAATCTCAATTTTCTGTGTACACGATATAGTTAATGATCAATGGATAAAATACTAAAATAAATAATATCGGTCATATGTTTACTGTTTAGTTTGCTTATTTTTTGGCAAAATTAGAGGTTATATGTTGAGTTTGCTTATTTATCTTAGTGAAAACTCTTGCATAGCGCTATTATAAAATTTTCAAAATTTCCTATAACCTACTATATATATATTATGCGAGGTTCTATTGCATAAATTAATTTGTACTGACATATTTATTTATACTACTATATTTAATTATTTGATAATTCAAGTATTAACACTAAAACAAAAAGATTGTTCATTATTTTTTTATAAATTATAACAAAAACTCAGAATATTGATAACATTTTAAAGTTAAAGAAAAGTCAATATAATTTATAAAGTCATTTCTAAAAGAAGATCCTATTTCTAAAGAAAAAAAATATTAATATTACTTTTACATATAAAATAAAAAAAAATTTCACCCTATTCTCAACTTACTAAAAATTTCAGTTTAGTTTATAATCTAGAAACTATTTCTAATAGAAAAAACAATAGAAATGTTAATAATACTTCTAAAATAAAAAAAATAAAGCTAAAAAATTTTTTATTTACAGTGAACATTGGACTTCCAGTCTGAATTCCAAGTTCTTAAGAAAAAAGTAAAAGGAATATTAGTATGGTAATATTTCCAAAAAAATTAACTATACTTTTCTCTTAACTCATATTTTTCCAAGATATTGATATCTAAAATAATAAATTTCAGATTTAAGTTGTTTTTAAAGAAAAATAATAAAAAGGAATATTAATAACATTTTAAACCAAATAATTTTTTTTAATAATTAAAAAATATAATAATAAAGGCCAAAAAAAAATTTTTATTGAATAAAACGGTTTGTTATAGGCCAAAAAAATTTATTTTATTTTTTTCTTTCAATAAAATGGAAAAAAAAATTATCTATTATCAATCAAATTAGCCGTCAATTATGATGTATTTTCAAAAATTTGTGTATTATACTATATGTAATGCTGCTTATTAGGGAATTCCAAGGTATTATACTGCTAATTAGTAGAAAATCGCTGGAATTCCAAGGCGTTATATTGCTAATTAGTAGAAGACCACTGGAATTATATATATATATATATATTATTAAAAAATACTGTTGATTACGCAAATTAAAATATATGACATATATAAAAATGATTGTTATTACGCAAACTATATATATAACCTTTTAAAAAATCTCAAAATCTATGCAAATAAAATTTTATGACTTTTGGAAATTTTACTAATATGGTTAAGCAAACTTACATGTGACTTTTATATGTATTTTTCAGGGTCTTATTATATTAAAATAAATGTTATTAGAACTTTATTTTGTATATAGTTTCTTTTAATTTATTTTTTAATAAAACTGCAAATGTGTTACAATTAAA